TGCCCGCGGAGGACAGAAGAGGCTGTCGGATCCCCTGGGACTGGAGTTATGGACAGTTGGTAGCTGCTATGTGGGTGCTGAGATTCAAACCCGGGTCTTCTGCAAGAACAACCAGTGTTCTTAACCGCTGAACCATCTCTCCAGCCCCTTACCCCAAATTTTTTTTAAGTATGTCAGATAAAGTACACTAAAATAAAAATAGAACCAGAGAGATGGTTCCATGGGTAAAGGCACTTACCACCAAGCCTGATAACATGAGTTCAATCTTTAGAACCTACACAGGAGGAGAGAAACTTGTGCGCCACACACAAACACTCACACACACTAAACACACACTAAACAAGCATATGTAATTTTAAAAGAACAACAGCAAGTGTTGTGGTGCATGCCTATAATTCTGACTCTTGGGAAGCAGAGGCACAGCAAGATCACGAGCTGAAGGTCATTCTTGGCTAAATAGCAATGTTGGAGGCTAGCCTGACTATATAAAAATCCTGTCTCAAAAACACAAAATAAAACAAGCATGAGCCCAGCATGATGGTGCACACCTATAACCCCACCTTGAGACAGCTGAGGCAGCAGGTGGCAAGCTGCAAGCCAACTACAGGGAGCTCCACCACCTCAAGACAAAAAACAGAGTAAGAAGATCCCAAGTGACCAGGAAGAGAAATCTGTAAAAAGCATTCTAGAAAAGTTTCTCTAAGAAGGTGATTATTTCAACAGAGATGTGATTGGAGAACACAAACCAAGCACACTAATATCTGGAGAGAGAAAGGAAAGGCAGGTTAGCAAATATAAAGACTCAAGAGCAAACTTGACATGTTTCACAGTCAGAAACAAAGCCAGAATACTGGATAAATGGAGAATTAAAAAATAAGAGCTGGGGGCGGGGGTGGTGGCACACACCTCTAATCCCAGCACTAGGGAAGCAGCTGAGACAGGCAGATGGATCTCTGTGAGATCAAGGTCAGCCTGGTCTACATCGCAAGTTTCTGGCCAGCTAGAACTACAGGGAGACCTTGTCTCCAAAAACAAAAGATAAAAAAAAGAAAAGAAATGCCAGCTGGGGAGGCAGTTTGGTGGCAGAGGTGCTTACTTAGCATGCTCAAGGGGATGGGTTTGAACTCTGCCCAAGAACCTCCTAAAGCTAGCTGTGGATTTTAGGTTCCATCAGAATGCAAAGGGAAGCTAATAAAGGGCTGTAAACTATTTACATTTTAAAAGACCATTGTGACTACCTTGAAATACATGATCTGTAACCGTGGAAATGGTGAGGCAAAATATGCAAGAAGTGAAATGACTGTGGCTTGGGCTTGGCAAAGCAACTCAACGATCAAGGAATGATCACAATTCTCACATGCTTGGAAAATAAAGCTAAAAATCTGGACACAGGATTTAAAGGAAAGACAGGAGTCAAGGCTGACTTTTTGGTACTAAGAGTGTTCCAAAGGCTGGAGAGATGGCTCAGCGATTAAGAGCCTGGCTGTTCTTGCACAGGACACAAGTTTTGTTCCACCCACATGGCAGCTAATAACTGTCCATAACTCCAGTCCCAAGGGATCTGAAGTTCTCTTCTGAACTCCTCAGGCACTGCATAACATAAGTGCACTTACATACACACAGGCAACACACTCATATGTGAAAAGGGATTGAGGAAGACACCGCATGTTGATCTCTCACACACACACACACACACACACACACACACACACACACACACGTTCATCACTGACGGAATTAAGGGCAGGAACTCAAGGCAGGAACCTGAAGCAGAAATCACAGAAGAATATTGCTCATCGGCTCCCTCAGGGCTTATGCTTAGCTAGCACCACCTGCCTAGCAAAGCACTACCAGAAGTGGGCTGGGCCCTCCTGCATCACTCATCAAGACAACGTTGTGTCGTCGTCCCGTCCCCCCCCCCCACACCACCATGCCCACAGGTGAATCTAGGGAATTCCTCAACTGGGGCTCTGATGGTTCTAGGCTATGTCAAGTGACAAAGCTAACTAGGACAAAAAATTAGCTCACCTGGTGAAAGGTGGTGTCATTAACAAGAGACAGGAGAGACTGAAAAGACTTATGAAGGAGACCAGAGTTTCACTTTGGACTACTCAAGTTTAGAAACTATGAGCTGGCCAGGTATAACTTTAAAGACAGTTTTTATATAATCCTAGAACTCAGCTAAGTGGCCTGGGCTAGAATAACCTGTGAATCTTAGGACTGAAGAGAAGGCTCAGCAATTATAAGCACTTGCTGCTCTTGTAGAGGACCCAGGTTCAGTTGCCAGCACCCATATGGCAGCTCATAACTATCTGCAACTCCAGTTCCAGGGCCTCCAACACTCTCTTCTAGCCTCCGTGGGCACTGCATTACACTTACATACACACAGGCAAAAACACACATAAAATAAAAATAGAACAATAAATAAAATAAGAAACCTGTGATTCGGGCTAGAGAGATGGCTCAGCAGTTAAGAACACTGGTTGTTCTTGCCAGAAGACCCAGGTTCGAATCCCAGCACCCACATGGCAGCTAACAACTCTCTGTAACTCCAGTCCCAGGGGATCCGACAGCCTCTTCTGACCTACGCAGGCATTGCACGACACAGGCGCACTTACCTACATGCAGGCAATACATGAATACACATAAAATAAAAATAATAAAATTAAAAAAAAAAAAAAAAGCAACCTGTGATTCCTGACTCACAGATCCTAGGGCACAGAAATAACAATGACCTTGGTGAAATTATAACATTCATCATAAGTTTTTTATCTGATTAATCCACAGTCAAGGGGTTACCGCTTTTGCAACTATGGGGTGGGTAGCATATGAACACACATGTATATATACAAAGAACAATTTCCTACAGAGAATAGTGGTGCATGCATATAATCCCAGCACTCAGCAGGCTGAGACAGGAGATGGCAAGTTTGGGGCTAGCCTAGTCCTACACAGAACACTGTCACAAAAAAAGGAAAAGAAAAAAGTAATTTCACCAAACTGACTAGATTAAATTTTTAATAGTTACTTTTAAATGTTCCAATTTGGGTTATTTATAATTGATCCTTAATTTATTAATTCAAAAGAAGTCAGCAGATCAACATTCTTTAGAAGCATTTAAACTTTATAGCTCTTATATAAATAAAATATGAAAATAATATAAATAAGTTACCTTCAAGTTAATGTTAGATAATCCTTCTTTCTCTAAAATACTTCCAGAAAGCTGAATTGCAGAAGCAGAGTAATCAATTCCAGTTATATTAGAGAAACCAAACTTTGCCTAGAGAGAAATAATTTCATACTTTAGTTTAAATTTTAATATTTGCCTATGAATTACACTATTCCTTTAGATCTGGAGTTGTTTTAACAACTGAAGTTGTAGATCAAATGTCATATAATATCCAATTATCCACAATGTTTAAATTTTTTTTAACGTTTATTATTTTTGTGTGTATGTGTGTATTGCCTGCATGTAGGTAAGTGCACCCATGTTGTGCAATATCCGAGGAAGTCAGAAGAGGCTATCAGATCCCCTGGGACTGGCGCTACATACAGTTGTTAGCTGCCATGTGGGTGCTGGGATTTGAACCCAGGTCTTCTGTGAGAACAGCCAGTGTTCTTAACTGCTGAGCCATCTCTCCAGGCCGCATAAGAACATACAGTTGTTAGCTGCCATGTGGGTACTGGGATTCAAACCCAGGTCTTCTGCAAGAACCAGTGTTCTTAACCACTGAGCCACCTCTCCAGCCCCCTAATGTTTAAATTTATTGTATTCTAAATAAAAACCAAAAGCTTACATCCATACAATAATTTTTTTGCCTTTGTGATTTCCCTTTCAAAAGAAAAATTTATTTTCTCAAACATATATGTATAAGCCCTCGGGCTAAAAAATGTAGTATTAATTTCTGATGTTCTTATGCTCAAATTCACATATGAATTTATGTTAAATTTTACTTACCCCAATTAGGTAATATGAATAAATTAAATGCATATGTAGTAAGTTGATTTTAAATTATTTTCCACAGTATAATTATAAATTATTCAGTTCTCCAGTCACATGGGTAAGGTTACTACCTTACATCTGTACAATGCTTTCTCATTTCATGACTATTCCATACATTCCATTGGCTTCTTACCAAAGGCCTGTGAGGTAGGCTAGGCTACAGGTATCAGTATCCGTAGGGAATTACAGAAAGACTACTGCACCTGAGGGTTTTGTCATCTGCTAAGCATGAATCCTCTAGGATGTACAGTGCCTGTGGCAAGTCCTCGGTGGCTTCTGATCTCTACTCAACCCACAATCATGCTGGTCATTTTTAAGTCAATAAACTAAAAGTAATTTCAAAGGAAATTAAAAAAAAAAAAAAACAACACTCGCAAAGTACAGTGTGGTCTGAAATTCTCTTAGTAGACTTCACTATTTACCTCCTTCAAAAGTTAACCCATTCCTATACATGTAGCCTATGAAGACAGAGTTTGCAACCCTAAGAGACTGATACTTAATCTAAACTCAAGGGACAAACACCACCAGTTATTTCTCCACAGAGCATCTGCATTCCCTTTTGTTTGGTTTTTGAGAGAAGAGTCCCATTGTAGCCTAGGCTGATCTCAAACTTGCTATGTAGCCTTGGCTGGCCTCAAACTTAGGACCCTCCTACCCCCACCTCGTAAAGTCGTAAATGCATGGATTACAAATGTATATCACCTCGCCCACTTTTATTTCTACAGTCTACATAGCAAGTTCTAGGCAGCCAGGGCTACCTATTGAGACCCATCTCAAAAAATAAACCAAAAAA